TCAAGCACATGACGCCGTACCTCGAGAGGCAAGCGCTGAACCAGTCGCTGCTTCTGTCAGACTTGCATCAGCTTAACAAGGAGGACGGAATGGTGTATTTGACAAGCGACGACGACGTCGAGCAGAGGCCTGAGTGGTTACACAGCCACGTTGGCATACCTGAGCCCTGGAACGACGAAGAAGACGGCGGTGAGGACGACGGCCATGAAGATCTTCCGACAGAAGACCCTGATCGGTCCGATCGCGTGCCATCATCTCCCCTCGAAGACACGACGTGGTTCGATGTCTCCCGCGACCACCCAGTCTACCGCATCTCAGACCCTCGACGGTTCCCACATTTCGTTCCTTCCGCTCGCACCGGCAGCTTCCAAAATCGGCGCCGAGACCAAAAGCCGCTGCCCCCGCCCGACACGCCCACCCACAAGCCCGATCAGGAAGGCTACTCCAAGGCCCCCGCCGTGCTCGTCCTCGTCGACAAGGGTTCCGGCATCGTCGACGCTTTCTGGTTCTTCTTCTACTCGTACAACCTCGGCCAGACCGTCTTGACTATTCGCTTTGGTAATCACGTTGGCGACTGGGAGCACTGCATGATGCGCTTCGAGAACGGCGTGCCCCGTGGCATCTTCTTCTCTGAACACGAAGGCGGCCAGGCTTACACGTACCACGCCGTCGAGAAGCGCGGCGATCGCCCCGTCATTTACTCAGCTGTTGGCTCTCACGCCATGTACGCGCAGGCGGGCGACCATCCCTACGTGTTGCCGTTCAAGATGCTCAAGGACGTAACCGACAAGGGCCCTCTTTGGGACCCTGCCAAGAACGCCTACACTTACTGGTATGACTACGTTCAGGATCTGGATGAGGACCTTGACGACGATCTTGACGATGAGGTTGATGTCGCAAGCGGTCATCGCAAGGAGAACCCCGTCAGTCTTGTGCCGACGGCAGAGAACCCCGACGCGCCAACATCCTGGTTCCATTACGCCGGGCCGTGGGGTGACAAGCTCTACAGTCTCGCCGACATGCGCCAATGGCGTCTCTTTGCTCAGTATCACTACGTCTCCGGTCCTCTTGGGCCCAAGTTCAAGCGCCTCGACCGCGAGAAGCTCTGTATCACCACCCGCTGCCGCATCCTCGACAACCTGAAGCCAGGACAGACCTGGTACAGCTAGACGAGGCATGCGCTTTCCTTGTACGAAATCTTTCTGGTATCAAAATTGGGAGTAATGGAATGAGAGGGAACAGACGGTAGATGAGACATTCCTCACTGGAATCACTACAAACACACACGATCAACGTTCGCTGCGACGATCGCGGCCTTCCTAGAAGTTTCGCATATACATTCACGGACACGCTCGTTTATGACTTCATGTAGATATGGTTGGGTGCGACACCAGGCGGCGCTTTCGCGCACGCCCTTTGGGGCCTTCGGAGTTTTTGCGGGTTACTCGGTGTTTCTGCCTTGGAATTAGCTTGGGATTGATACCCCCACGATACTGAATAGAGATCAAAGTTGAAAACATGCGCGTGGCGTCACTTGTGGATATGTTGCATCATGACAGGAGTATCCAGGAGTAGGGGGGCAGCGGTGCGACTATTACCGTCTTTATATATTGAGACAATTATCCGCTTTAGGTCTTGATTGAAAAAGATGAGTCGCATTTGCCTGGCTTGTTCTCGGCCGATTATCTGACAGTCCTGTTTGGCCACGGATGTAACCCTAGGTGACAGGACCCTCGTTACTCATTTCAATTCACGTTGGTTCTCCCTGTCGTCCCTCTTTGGTGGTTAATGTGTATGTTGGCGGAATACGCGGCTCCGTTATGTTGTTGTGTTTGTGTAGAGGCTAGACGGTCTTTGGTAAAGGTGAACGTGATGGTTGACTGGGAAGCTCTCAGGTCAGAGTTCACCTCGCGAAGATTGCGTTACGATTTCCAGTCGCTCAAAATATTCTGGGGGATTTGGTCTTGTCTTGAGTATGTTTATATCCGTGCCAGGGCATCTTGGCTGAGAAGACCTTTGGACCTTGTGCAGTTCATGGTTTTGCGTGATACTTACTGCCATGCCCTTTGGGATATCTATTAAAAGCCAGTCTCAAACTTTACAAGTATGTTCTCCACAGATTGGTCGACCATCCAAGATGTGCGGTTTTCTGATAGAAGCATCTCCTTGACGTATTGAATCATGGAATGCTGAATCGCTTGCGGTTCGAGCATGTCGTACCCGAGGCCCATCAGCTTATTGACGTTAATCCTAGCTCTCTGGTTTTACACGGTTGCTGGGTGTTGTTTACAATACTCAATGGGGTATCCCGAGTATTGAGCTACCGTATCTGCGCTTGTGAGATGTGATGTAGTAGCTGTCAAGGATCTCCTAGCTCGTTATGAGCTTGGTGCCTGTTCTCGTGTACATCTGCTTGTAGACGTGCTGGACACGGAGGCTTTTCATTGTGAATGGCCCTCATCCTCTTTACATTCTCGCGAGCTTTATACTCCAATACATGTAGCAAGGAAAGATAGAACCACCAATGTCTCAAATCTTTGACTTTGTTCGGACCGGTAGGAGAAAGAACGGTTGAGGTAGTTCTGTATAAAGCGCGGATATCTGTTCACATAGGTAAGTAGCGAACAAGACAGAACAACGAGAATCAGCTCTCCGAACTTTTTCATGTAAATGAAGTGATTTCAATAGCCTTGAGATGTGGAGGCTCTTCTTTGTGCTCTTGCCCTGACTTTGGATGTAGACATGACATTATCTCCGTCTCTGTCTTTGACTATCCGGAGGGCATTCCATTATAATCATACGATAGTGCTTGAGTGGATGTAAGGGGTGAGCGTCTTGGAAATAGACCGAAGAAGGTTGTCGAGACTTCCTGACAGTTTTCGATGAAACACAGATACGCCTCGGGCGTCGCGACTTTTCAGATTTCCGGTTTGTCTCTGGCTGACGGAAAGTGTTTAAGCTACCTTGACATAGTGCTGCCAATTTGTCCGGGCTTTGGACGATCATCTCTGCACCGTCTGCGGCATGTTCGATGTTGCTCCGGTCAATTGACAGCAGTACTGTTGCAAACACCCTGTTGGTGGCCAAGCTTTGCTAGCTGGATCTCTGGGCGTGTTTGGTGTACAGGATTCATGGCTGACTGCAACGGTCTTGATGCCAGGGCATGCGTAACTTGAGCCCTTCATGAACTTTCTTGGGGGCTGTCGTTCTACATCCATAATCGTTTGTATAAATTGAATGCTTTTTGATAACTCAAATACATCGACAATCACTCAGCCACGATAGTTGTTTGCAAAGTCTTTTGGAATCAGTGCATCTTGCCTCGGTCGAGTCTGGCAACTACGCATCGTCCTCTCATCGCGTCGGTGACAGTGGCTCGCTGACAAGTTGTCACACCAATGTGGCGTCTCTGGGCTTCATCTTCCTGGTTTTCTCGTCTATTCTTATGCAACATACGTACGTATTTGCGAGACGTTTCCTAGCTCAGCGGACTGTATGAGCACACCGGCTGGGCAACGATTCAAATAGCAGTGTACGGGGCCACGTGGTCTTGAGAAAGGTCGAGCCACCGCCCAACCCCGATAGCACTTTCTAATTGCTGAGATTTACTGTCGTCTATTGATGTGTGCTATCTATATAATTACGTGATGGGTATTGGACATCAGCCGGTCTTTTAGAATTCCAGTTCAACATGTGAGTTGGAACACCTTACTATATAAGTGAGCGTGAGTCTTTACGAGAGTCGACCAATGGATGCCAAATGCCCCGGATCCACCATCCATCTTTCTCATTGAGGTCTTTGCACTTTGTACGAGTCTTTCTTGGTGGAGGCAATCGTTACTTGCTTTGTGAAGTACCTCCGGTAGCTGATGGTCTAACGCTAGGATGTATTGTCTTCGGATGTTTGGGTGGGAATATTCTCCGGAAGTTGCTGAACAATATCAAAACGAATGAAGGGCATCATATCTCTCCAATTCTACAAATACTTCGACATACAAAGCGAATCTGCTGATCAATAGTCTCTCCGCTTATAACCCCTCGTCGACGGTCGATGCGATGATGAAGACTCATGTCATGAACATTCATGATCGGTAACGGATTACGTGCAATCACTATAGCTATTGAGTAACCTACCTTCTGAAACCTGCAGAAGAGATCCGAGGATCTTGTTGGGTCTTTATCCTCCGTTCTCCTGTCCTTCTACCGTGGAGAGCTCAGAGACTGCGCCCACAACGGCTATAAATGGAAAGAGATGGATTCGTGCTATTCTTTCCTGGGTCAATGAGCTGCTCCGATGGAGCGGCGATTTCGGTTGATTTAAGTTCCGTGTCCTAAAGCCTGGACATGACGTTCTTTTCGGTCCAGAATGAGCGATGCAGATTAACCATAAATTTCAGTTCGATAGCTTCAACGTCTTCGTTTTTCGCTTATTCTGTGCGATACATTGAAGCTAATGTATTGATAGACTTAGTTTACCTGAACGCTGCCGTTGTCTGGCTGAACAACTGACAGTTTTGACGCAATGGAGATGAATGAATATATCATGTGGTTGAGAATTCTAGTGAGACAATTTCCTTTTGGCTTTCAGGATTGATATGATGTTCTCCAGTAATGACGAATGCCAACCTGACATTATTCAAAATCACTTGAACCCTTGGGTGCCGCTTTCAACGGCTTGCATGCCCGCACCCTCATCAACCTGCCTTGAGCCAAGAACGACGCTAGCCCTCGTGAGGCATGATGCGTCACCCCCAGACAATCAAAATCCAGCTGAACTTCACAATTCTGCCTGCTCAACAGTCTGCCAGGCGGTCAAGTCTCAGCCCGACGCCCCGCTGGGCCGAGATATCCTTGGCATATTCAGCTGAAAGTCTGCCAAGGCTTCATCCATTTCTTCACCGGTGCTTGTTGTGGTATTTCATAAACTCTTCCTCTTCATATACTAGATCCAAACCATTGATCCCGGGCTCTCTGTGCCTTCATCTTCACAAGCGGCATAGATGGATTCCCGCAGCTATCCATATTTCCCGCCGCCTCCGGGCCAGCCCGGCGCGGTGCCCCCGCCCCCGCTTCCACCGCGCGCCGTTAGCCCGGCGGCTAGCTATCCTCCACCGCCGCCACCATCGGTCTCGCACGCGCCATATCGACCGTCTCAATACCTTCAAGCTCCCCAGAGCACCGGATGGTCTCCATCTACGTCTACTTCGAGCCATGGGCACCAGCAGTCTTCTTACCCCAGTTCACCCATCTCGCCCTCAGCCATTCCTCAAGGATATGATCCAGGGAAGTGGCCTCAACAACCGCAGTACGGGGCGACAAGTCCGTCAGGGCAGTATCAACATGCGGCTCAAGGAGTACAGGCTCACCAGAACCCAGCTTCTGCCTCACAGTTACCTAGTCCTAAGACCCAGGCATCTCAGCCCTTCTACGCAGGGTTGAAGACCGAAAAGCTGCTTGGCTCCTACCAGAATGTCAAGAATAAAGCTCAGCAAAGACTGTCACAGTATCTGGCGCAATCAGGTCAACAAACGCAGCGTCGTGACTATGGATCACCGCAAACGCAGACACACAATATGAGCTTGCCGCCAATTTCATCCATCTCGCCGGCGAGCACGACTTCACCGGTTCATCATCACATCCCACAAGGCAAAAATCAACAGGGCGCATATGAGATTTCTACAGCGGCATCTTGCCAGAGTCCTCAGTCGCAGTTCAAAGACGGTCCTTCACCATCGTCACGGAGTCACCACTACCCCCCTCCGCCGCCGTTATTAGTCAACACCCGGCCGGCGGAGAACCATAAAGTTGTTCCGGCTGATGCTCAGTACATCACCGGTGAGCCTTATCACTACCAAGAATTTGGTCCATCCAATGTGGTGCAGGAGGAGACATCAGCCTCTTCATCTGCACTCAGTCCTGAAGCTGTCGCACCAGCCGATCAACAGCACACATCCTATCCACCTCCGCCACCCACACCCCGAAAGATGCCCCTTGAAGGTGATGATCCGAATAATGGCCAAAGCAACTTCAACGATGCTGTGGCAAGTGTATCTACCAGCTCCGAATCAACAGCCTCTTCGATGCTGATTCATAACTTACCCCTGAGACCTGCACCGGCACCTTCTGGGCAGCGACCAGAATCCAAAGACTCGCCGCTCTCTGTTCAGCAGCGACCTACTACAAACACTGAGCAACTCCGTTTTCGGGAGGAAAATACCAGCTTTCAGAGCAGCCCTGAACGAACAAACACATCGAAGAGCTCAGACCCTGTCCTCGATGGATGGAGAAGAGCCGTACCAATACCCGTCTTTTCCGAAGACGGCAAGCCCAACGATATCATGTGGGATTGTCCCGAATCACGAGTCGTCGACTACGAGACTGATTGGTATCACCTACCCGACATCCCAAACTTCACCATCTGTACCTGCTGCTACGACATGTACCTTGCAGCTACTCCCCTTTCAGACTCGTTCAAACGTGTCCGGAGGCCCAGAGGGGCATGTGGCTTGAAGGCTCATCGCGTCACCAAAGTAATAATACCCCAATACCTGAAAACGCTAGACCCTCAGCCTCTCCGAGACTACATGACGAAACGTCTCAGCATCCAAGACTGTCACGGTGTGGGCGGCGTCAAGGGAACTGCAGGCGTCAAGTGGTTCAAGCCACTTGATGCGAGACTGAATGGCTTCCTTTCATGCGAAGCCTGCTTTGAAGAGGTAATCCTAGGCACAGCGTTCCATCAAAACTGGGCACCCTACGACTCAACTCAAGCCGAGGATGATGTTTGGGCGTGCGATATCTGCATTCCCTACATCGGTCGGATCTTGATCGACTACTCCTTGACTCGTACCTGGGAAGACTGGACCCAATCGACTGTCAAATACCTAAATCTCCCAAAGTGCGAAAAAGAATTGGCCGTTTCCCCCTTTTCTCGACAATGGGTGCGCTTATCCGGCGGACGCGTACCCAACCTCAAAATCTGCGAGAAATGCTTCGCCGAGAATTTGGCATCCACACCACTTGACTATGGATTCGAATTCATTCCTGTAGAGCCAATTACCAAGGGACCGAACTGGATGGAGGTGGCACTCGGACATCGCATACAAGAACCCGAACCCTGGCTCTGCAGCGTGACGAACAATTTCCCTCTGGTTGCGGCCATGTCCATGGCTAAAGACCTGAGAAACATCGATGCTCTTGTCAGAGCAGCAGAGAATGTCCTCGCGAACTCTCCGTGTACCGAGAAGGGGACCTCTCGAGATACGTGGTACACCTTGGCTGGCGGCGACGCGCCCGAGGACTTCAAAATCTGCCCGGCTTGTCACGCGGCGTGGGTCAGCCCTCTCAAGCTTGATCGATTCTATGAGGTAGAAAGAGGTGTAAACCCCACAAAGCCATTTGTCTGTAGTCTTCATCCCTCAAATCCGCGATGGACGGAGCATATTCATCGGTGGCAGGAGGCTCTTGAGACGGGTGTCTGGTCAAGATACTCCAACTGGGTCCGCGCGTTCGCCGATGTTCCACCCTGCGCAGGAGATGGACAGATTACGAACGCCAAGTGGTACGGCTGGGACGACTGCACCATATGTGCGGATTGCTGGGTCACTTTCTGCAAAGACGCACATCCCGCCGCCGCCAGCCTGCCGATGGATTACCACAAACAGCTCGTATCAGACGCGAGGATGTGCTGCATGTACTCCCCGCGCATGCGACAGAAATGGGTGGAAGCCTGTGAAGCAGGCAATGCAGGCGGTCTCGTCGAGTTCTCCAGGACGAGAATACAGGTGTACTACCAGACGGTGGTGGAGATTCGACGATTGAGAGTCGTGCACGAGATGCAGGTCCTGCAGTCCCAGAATGCCGGCACCCAGAGCCTCACCTGGGCATCCATAGAGAAGACCAGGCTCCTTGTTGGGACTGACGGGTACCAACACGGAAACAGCACGCTGGGATGGCATGCGACGAGCGAGGGGGCCACAAGTGCAGCGTACATGCGAGAGATGAATAGTCTTGCGGGCCAGTCTTGGGGCACACTGATCCAGATTGAGAATTTGCAGAACCAGTGGAAGATGTTCGAGTGAAATAGGGAACTGCGAGGCTGAATGAACTCACTGTCGTGGTTGTTAGGATTATTTGAGCAAATTTAACATGTTTCGGTCGCTCATTTCGAAGTCGGCACGAGCTGCTCCTACCGGGGTAATCGTTAGGAAAACAGTCTGAGTTAGGTACATGGCGTGAGATCGTCATATTCCGGTCCTGGTCCTTACCTTTGGATCCCTTCAAAAAGGCCTCACAGAGCGCCTGCACAGCAAGAGCGTGCTCCTCTAGAATAATCTTAAAGGGCTTTAAGCCTGTTCCAGGGAAAGTGACCGTGCCATCTGGTAGAGCCATTTTTGTCTGCATCTGGAGGCATCGCCGAGCCATGGTTAAAATTCAATCCCATAATAATCGTCACCAATATGCCATTGAAGAGCCGAGAGAAGGCAGCGCCAACGACGAACACCAGCTAGACAGAAATCATGCATGTATGAGGATACACATGTGGGATCTGCCCTGGCCAGAAACCTGTACCAAAAAGCTCATTGAAAGCAGACGGAGCATACGAAGTTTATGTTTGTGCTTCCGAAGTTTTGTGCATCATTTCTAATGTTTGATAGCTGAAACTTATGGGGTGTCCAGAACCTTCACAAATGACACTTGACTTTCTGCTCGGAGGGGACAACGCTATTGTTGAAAATGCTTTGGTTCGTGAGGGTTTCATCTCTGATTTCCACTAGCTAGCTCCTTGACCTTCCTTCCTGTCGGTGTGCATAAATCAATTCCAGCTGATACTCTGTATGTTAGTTGCTTTGCTATGGACGGTGAAGACATAGCTCATATTCAGGATGAAATCACGTATGCGCGCACACACAGAGAGAGACGTATTTATATATTCCCATCACTATTGACTTCTCCTCACCCGGCACAAACAAAGAATGACGATCATCTCTTCATTCTTAGCCCCAGAGTCATACCTAGACCGAAAAGAAGGTCAACTTCATCTTCGGGTGCTTTCACTGCTCTGTCTGAACAAGCCGACTTTCTTTCGTCCCTCCGCTGTTAGATTCACTGATACACTGCAGAACTTGAAAAACGGCGATAAAGGACGAATGCCTAGCATCGAATAGCACCATGATGATGAGCCGTAGGCAACCCAGAGTGTGATGAATCTCTATACACGCAGGACAATGCAACACGTTCTTAAGTCACGGGACATTTCACAACAATGCCCTGAAATTAGCATTTGCTGGGGTTCAGATTTCAAAAGTACCCCGTCAACTGATTGAACTTAAATAATACAACCCTTCAGTAAACGCATGTTCTATCTTGGTCTGATAGAGGCGGACGGACGAGTCATACTGCCCGTGATCTTGACCAATGTCGTGCCATGTCCGCACGCACATGTAGCAGTCGTGATTGCCTTTACCAAGCTCTCATAACCTGCTCCTCTCGGAATATCCGTATATCCATCGATATAAGTATCTGAACTTACGCAAAAAGACAAGAGAAACAATCGGAGCAGATTAAATTAGGGTCGAATCTGGTTGCGATGTTTCCTACAATCTCCAGCCCCATCTCATCAGACACATCCTGATCCCCCCCTGCGCTCCCCTCATTCTTTGCGAAGCATCCCCTTGACCATTTCCCCCTCATTTCAACTTTGGGTTATTCTTTCGTACCTAGCAGATTGCCAGCCTACGGGTACACGTTTTCAGCTTCTCTGTAACTGTATTTACGAGGTCCGCGTGGACCGGGCTAGAGACATCTCTATAGGCCAACATAGCCGATATTCAAAGAGGAATACCAGTCGCCTTCCAGAGTCCAGATGCCCTCTCCCCGTAACACCACAACCACTTATTCCATTCCTTGGATGGGGTTCTCTTCCTCCAATAGAGAGGTCACAGAACCATAACTTCCAACTTCGTCTCCTTCACACTCCTTCTAGTGCGGTCTTCTACTTCAAATGAGAGACCACACCTCAACAACCTTCAAACAAGGGAGACATCAGCAGCGTGAGGCCCAGAAAACGACACCACGCCTTCGAACGAAGTATCGATTGTTGGTCTGCTGCCACCAGACTTATCACTCAAAACAAGCAAACAAAAAGTTCATGTCAAGTCCTGGCACCTACCACACACGCACGGTACAAACTTGGTTTCACGACGGATATAAATGTCTGGTCGTCTGAGAAAACACGAGAAAACAACCAGAGCAATAGCATCAGACCATCGTGACGATGCCTCTGCTGCCTCTGCTATCTCACCACCGGCCCTCTCCATCATCTACACATAGCTCAACATCCTAACTCCCCTCATTCACACCTAGCTCGTCCTCATCCGCCATCGTCTCCGAATAAGCCAAAGATAAAAGTCATAGGCGACAAGACACGTTCAACCTCAAAGTTAGTCTTCAATAAATCTCACTCATCAGGTCCGATACCCTCATCAGGACCATGAGGCCCTTGCAACAGCCCAGTATCGATTGCAAACACGACATTCAAAATACATGATCTGTCATACCACCAACGGAACCACGAAACACTTGATAGATATACGTTATCCCCACTACCTACCGCCTCGTTGCGGGATGATCACAGCTTCATGATGGATATAAATACATCCACTTGCCGCAGTAAAGTAGACTCAAACCAGCAATGGCGCGCCGGGTAGCGGCAAAGAGAAATGAATCTCGGGTGCTGACGTAGTGCCCGTCGTCGCCTCCCACGTCTTCAGAGTCTGTGATCAAATCTCACTCAAGCATCATAGGGTACTGTTTTCTCGACGGTGCTCTTCACCTCTGCTGTTGAATGGTCTTTGAGTATTCACACGGATGATGATGATGATGATCAAGTCTTGCCCACCGTAGCCCGCTGCTCAACCAAAGGTTCTGACCTAGGAGAGCCAAGTCTGCCAATTGGGTAAAGACCTTGCAATGGCTGAAAATGCTTCATCATTTGGCGTGGGTTGAAATGCCACATCCAGCAATCACTGTGTAGTTTATATACCCCCTGCACAGCACCCTCACCCACCTCTTGAACCACATAGAATATCAAGCATCACAAGTACATGCAACAAATCAAAATCTCACACCAAAAAATACTAAGAATTAATGTCTATCCATAATCATTACCCATCAACACAACCCTCCACCTTCTCTCACCTTACCTCCTCCTCCTCCTCCTCATCCCCCTCCAACACAATCTCATGCCCATCCCCCTCCCACACAACCCAGCTCGCCAGCACCCCCAACACCGCCACCCCCGCCAAACCCCACCACACCGCGCCGACGACCCCGCCCGCCAGGCCCTGCCCGTACAGATACCCGCACAGCACCGGCCCGATCGTCCGCGCCGCGCTGCTCACGCTCTGCCCCAGCCCGTGTATCGTGCCCAGCACGCTCGGGTGCGGCGTGCAATTATTGATCAGGATCGTCTGGCCCGGCAGCGCGAACGTGCGCCCCAGCACCTGGAACAGCAAGACACCGACGATCGCGAACCAGATCGCCGGCCCGCCCTTCGGCCCCGGCGGCGGCGCGCCCGGCGTGGTCGGCACCACCGACAGATACGGCACGAGGAAGTACGTCAGCGGGAAGAAGTAGAGGAACAGCCGCCACGCGCGGACGGTGCCGAGGCGCGCGGAGAGGCGCGGGTACACGAAGAGCTGGAGCGTGATGCCGATGACGCCGAGGATGGCCATGGCGAGGCCGACGCTCTGCGGGGGCATGCCCAGGCCGCCGGTGAAGCGGAAGGGGAGGTGCGGCGGGGAGGTCGAGGTGGGCGTCGAGAGGAAGACGAACCAGAGCGCGTTGAAGGTGCCGACGTGGAAGGCGAGGAAGAAGTGCGCGGAGAAGGTCATGATGACGTTGCGGGTGAAGATGCGCCGGAAGGGCAGGCGGTGGGTGTAGCGCGGCTTCGGCCGCTTGGGGGGTGCGGGGTTCTCGGGGGACATTTCGACGTCGGTGCTGCTGGCGGAGCTGGACTGCAGCTGGGCGTAGGCCGCGTCGTCGAGCCGTATCGCGCCGCGGCGGCCGTGGCGGAGCCGGATCCAGATTCTGCGGAGGACGTTCGCGATGCTCGAGCCGAGGCGGCGTCCCGGGTCCGGACCTTCTTCGCGGAGGGCGTCGAGCGTCTCGTCGAGGCACAGCCACACGCTCAATGCCGCGCACGAGAGGAACACCGCGCTCAGAAGGTTCGGCGTGGCGTAGGGGTACTTTTTGAAGAACTCCACGTCGCCAAAGAGACCCGGGTAGCTGCCGGCGGGGTCGGAGAGGATGCCGCCGAGGATGGGCCCGATGATGACGCCGATGTTGAAGGTCATGGGCAGCAGGATGAAGGCGCGGGCCTGGAACTTCTTCTCGCGGACGATTTCGCTTATCATGGTCCGGAGGACGCCGACGTTGCCGTTTGTGGCGCCACCGATGCAGCGGAAGATGAGGGCCTGCGCGAAGCTCTGGGAGAAGCCGAAGCCGACGCACGACAGACAGGTCCCGAGGAGGCCGATCATGAGGACGGTCTTGCGGCCGAAGCGCTTGGAGTCGGCGAGGCGGCCCCAGATCATGGCCGTGATGAACTGGGCTGCGGTGAAGGAGGCGTGGAGGATGCCGGCCTGGGAGGAGATGACCGAGTCCGGGAGCGTCGGGTCGAACCACTTAAGTTGGTAGAACATGTAGGACTGTGAGCTGTGTTAGCGATATTTCGTGTTCATTCTCTTGTCAAGTCTTGGATCTCATGTGAGACGTGAGATGAGGACTGCGGGGGCAGAACGAGAGGAACAAACCTGTAGCGAAGTCTGCACGAGCGGCTCACTCAACCTTGTAAGCGTAATGACCAACAACTGCTGCTTCTGCGGTAGATCGCGCCACGCGATGGGCTTGGGCTTCTCTGGCGGCTTGAGCAGCTCCTCCTCCTCTCGCGGGTGTGAGAGCGCCGCGCCAGGCGCAGCCTCAACTTCAGGCCCGGACCCATCGAGAGTCCTCAGCATGCGCGCCTCTTCACCCTCATCGTCGGACTCGTCCTCTCGTTCGGAGTCGGCATCGTCGTGAT